CAGAATTCCCCAGCCAACATACTGGCTGGGGAATTCTGCGAGTTGAAATCCACACATCTTAAAGTTGCCAAGGTTGAGAAATACTGCCTTAGATCTTCGAAAGGACAAAATGAGTGATTTCTTCCTGCTGTGCCCATTTGAGTGATGATTGATATGCAACTTTACCACCTCCACCCCCTTTTTTTAGAACCACAGTGTGGAGATTGCATAGGCTTCATGGATCAATGGAGTTGTTGCATAGCTAATACAGTTTTTCAAACTGTTAGAACAGCAAATGTGAGTGTGAAAGATGAATACGTATGTGGGGAACAGTGATTTCCTAGTAGATGAAGGAAATGTTTACCTGATTTTAAGACTCAAACATCAAAACAGGTGTAGATGTTGCATATTTTGATTGCTTTAACAAAACTCTTCTTCATCCTTGACCTTTATAATAGGACGTGGTGGTTCATCTGGCGCGAAATTTCGCATTTCACTTGGTCTCCCCGTGGGAGCTGTTATCAACTGTGCAGATAATACAGGTATATCTTAATTGGGGACATTTGAAAAAAATAATTCTGGACAAGCAAGTCTTGGGGTTTTCTTAAAGCATTTTTACACTGCTCTTTAGCCAGAAGGGCTCCAAAGAGCAGCTTACAAGTGATTCAGGTGGTGTGAGAAAGGTAGGTGGGAAAATGCTAGTTCTAACATTAGTCTCCTGAATGCTGGGTGGGTAAATATTTAAGCTTTGTGGATAGCTGCAACATTTATGGAAGGAGATAAGACTTAATGTTTCCTCTACTTTTGGATTATAGAAGATATTTCTGGAATTGGATGTGGGAGCTTCTGTTTCTCCACCAAGAAATACCCTAGGTGGTAAACAATGTACTGTATAAATTAAGAAACGTCCTTTAGTTCAATTAGTTACTGCAAAATCTAGGTCAATAAACATCTTATTCTTAGATTGAAGTAAGTTTTTGTAGATTATTTTTACTTTCCATAGAATGGAAATATTTCAGAATGTGGTTGAATTTGAGCTGGGTGATGTTTGGGTGGCTTATTTTAGCGGAAGTGGAAAATATACAAGTTAATACTTGTGAGAGTTACTTCTTAGTCTCAGTATCAGTTATCAAAACAGCAAATGTGTAAACTGCCCTCTTCTACACAAGAGTTGGGCAGCCAGCCCTCTGCATAGAAAGAGTAAGAAACTTTTGTTTGTGACAGTTTAGAAATGTGACAAATAAAGCAGACAAGTTTTGCCATTTTAAAATTGCCCATATATAGGTGTTTCATTTGAAAGTAGCATGCTTGCTGGAATTCTTGTAACTTTTACCTACCTTCTAATATGTAATAGAGTTTTTCATTCTCTGGATTAATTTACTACTAGGAGAGAAATCTGACATTACCCCTGTCCAATTCAGCTGGAAAGAACAATCCTAATAAATCCAGTTTGGAGCCATAGCAGTCATGCTAAAAGAACAAGTGACTCAAACTAAAAACAATGGGCTTTCCCTTCAAAAAGCACTTGTTGGGTCTGTTTTCTAGTGGCCCAGGGAGTTGTCGTGGAAGGGTAAAAAAATAGCATTACTCTTGGGTGAGGTGACAGCTTGTGCTGTTATGCCTCAATCGGTGATGCAACAAAAAATTGGAGAGAAAGTCTTTTTAACTTTGGCACAAAGTATTTATTAATAGTGATGATTTCTTTATTTCACAGGGGCCAAGAATCTGTATATAATCTCAGTGAAAGGAATTAAGGGGCGTTTGAATAGGCTGCCAGCTGCTGGTGTGGGGGACATGGTAATGGCTACTGTCAAGAAAGGCAAGCCGGAGCTGAGAAAGAAGGGTGAGCGATGAAAGAAACTGGATGTATTGATTCACAGCCTTGTTTATATTACTTTGGGACTACAAGTTAGAGAAAAGCAGTTGGAAGAAACTGCTGTTAAGATCTTCTATTCATTATTTATATCTAACAATTTCAGTATTAAAAGTAATTAGAGGTAGAGGGTTGGATGCAGACCCAGTGATCATTGGAGTAAATCCATTGATGGGATCTAAATTAGTCATGACTTAACTATAAAGTGTTTTTGCCCTATGTGATTAACCTCAGATGGAATTTAGTTTGGGTTTATTTTAAATTAAATCATTAAATCATTGACTCAAATTGTGTTTCCATCTTCTGAATTCAGATATTCTGCAAAAACAGATAGTTAGTTTTCCTTTGGGAAAATCAACCTAGGCTAATATATCTGTGTTTGTTTTAGGAGAATAGATTAATTTATGCCAGAATAAGGGAATATAATTTATGAGAGCTACACTCTATTCAGTGATGCATATGTATTCTATCTTCTTCAGACTACAACTCCCAGAGTTCCCAGCAGTATGGGAGCCAGCTGAATTGTAGTCCATAATGAAGGTACCAGGCAAGGAAAGACTATTCTGTTTTCCAAGTTGCACCAAAAAAAGCTGAATAGTGTTTGTAATAAAATAAAACCATATACTATACCATAAAGTTCTGCCTTTTAGAAATCTTGTTTGAGCACCAAAACCATGGCTAGAGGCTTGAGAGATGATCTCTCCAGAGTTGAATATTGTTTAAATTCTGTTAATTAAATGGCACGTGTAAGCATATACTTAATCACTGCTGATATTAGTAAAGCATATAAAATTTAACACTATCTGGAGCGTGGTTTTTTAAAATTTTCTGTGATATGTAACCATTTTAAAGATTTTACCTTTTATATTCTATGCTGCCATGGCATGTATCTTGATAAGGCAGACCTGATTGTTTTTTAGCTGCAGCATGTCCTTCTTTATAACTGAACTCTAAGGAAACTGATACTTGATTTCAAATCCAGGTGTTGCATACTTAACTACCGATTCTGAACTCTTTTTCATAGTGCATCCAGCAGTAGTGATTCGTCAACGGAAATCATACAGGAGAAAAGATGGGGTATTCTTGTATTTTGAAGACAATGCAGGAGTGATAGTAAACAACAAAGGAGAAATGAAAGGTATTGTTGCTGAGATGGACCAAAAATTTAAAAAATAACATATATTTTGCTTCTAGCTAAAATCTTCACTGCCTGTGTCAGTAGCTTATCCCAGTGAGCTAGAGAATTGTAATTCACAGGATAGTTATTTATCAGTCCTTAATAGTCACAACTATAGAGAATCTAGATGAAATGAACTAGCTGGATCTCTTCCAATCTGGATTCATGCCAGGACATGGGATAGAAGCAGCATTTGTTGTTCTAATGTACAACCTGCTTAGGGACTTGGAGGGTGACAGTATGTCCTTCTTGGTTGACTTTTCAGTCTTTTTTGATCATCATTGACCATGGTATGTTACCTTAGTCATTAGTAATGGAAAATAAACAGTTAAGCCTGTGGTTGCTCCAACATGAGACGTCTCACGGCTCAACTCTTACCTGTTTCTATTAAGCTTCTGTAGGAAGCTGGGAGAGGTCATCCATTGGTTTGGGATGAGGTATCATCTGTATGTGGATGATACTCATTTATACATGACTATTCAGATTACTGAAGATGCTGTAGAAATACTGATCCTGTGTCTGGAGATTATAAGGGTCTGGATGGGCCCAAACAAGCTTAAGCTGAATCCCAACAGACACAGTTACTCTTTGTCCAGAAATATTCTGGCTTATTGACAGTTCTAGCTGTTGCTCAGGATGGAGTTGCCCTCCCTCTGAAAGAACAGGTGTGCAACTTGGTGGTCTTCCTGGACTTGGAGCTTTGCTGGAGAGCAGGCAGGAGCCATGGCAGTCTTTGTCAAGCTGGTGTGTTAGTTGCAGCCCTTCCTGGACTGCAGTATGGTATACATGTCCCTGTCTCTGGAGACAACCTGGAGACAAGATGGTACATAATACAGTAGCCAGGATCCTAGTGAATGAGTGTCACTACAGCAATGTAATGCTGATTTTCTGGTCACTACATTGGCTGCCAGGAAATTTCAAATTGCTGGGTTTGGTCTATATGTCAGAATCTGCATGCTCAATTCCCAAGACCAGTAAATCCTCTGGACTCTATTTGTTTCCAGCAAAGATTTCTTTATTGAGAAGCAGCATACAGCATCCATAGATAATTTGCTGAGACTGACCCTCCCCGGCCAGGGCTCTCTTTTTTAACCCCCCTCTATTCTACTTTTCCTGCTTGAATTCTTCACGCCTATTCCCGGGTCTCATTCGTTCGACCTTGCTGGCACCTCTAGCCGAGATAACGGTTGCACCTGGCATTTGTTGTTTATTATTCTCCCTCCCTCTGACTTTTATGGCAGGAACCAGCAAGCGGGTATACAAAACATGGTTCTTGTCTTTACTAACCTTTTAACCTATTTGCTATTCATCACAATTCTACATTTTAAGCATACTTTCTAACAGCCTTTAAATGGTAGCTTGCGCAGGTCCTGACACTATAAAGCTCCGCATGGCTTGACTCAATACATCTGAAAACTGTCTTCCAGATAACATTTGCTTGGTCCATGTGTGTAAGCTAGGAGGAGATATAAGCTATCAAAAGGATGTGGATGTGAAGGCAGTCCTTCTCTGAAGTGGTCCCGTTGCTATGGAATGACTTATTGAAATGTGCTGGGCACTCTCCTTAATCGCTTTCCTTAGCGCTATAAAAATAACTTTTTTTTTCCAGCAGACATTTAGTGATTGATCTTTAGTACTGTTTTTATGATGGTGTTGGGCTGCCGCTAAGTAATAGTTTTGATTTTTCTTTATTTTTTCCAGGCTCTGCTATCACAGGCCCTGTCGCCAAGGAGTGTGCAGATCTGTGGCCCAGAATTGCTTCCAATGCTGGCAGTATCGCATAAATATATTTTGTTCTTTGTAAAAATCAAATAAAAATGGTTGGCTCAAACTTCTGTAATGTTAATATTTTTCATATTATAGGGAAGGAAGGAAATAGGCATTCTGAATTGGTTTGGATACTATTAACCACAGAATATTGAATCAGAAAAACTCACACACTGCTTGATATGCTGATTGAATAAACCTTGGTGCAAATCTGTTTTGATAGATTTTGTAGTTTACTGAGTATCCTTGGGCTCGGATACATACTTTCAACGTAACAAGATGTTGTAAGGTTAGAAATAGGTGAAGGAGAACCATATTTGTGTAATCTTACTGTTCAAAAGAAAGGAGAGGTAAACCATGACAATCTATGCCCAAAAGAGGGAGTCACAACAATGTTGTCTGGCGATGCGCTGCTTCTGGATATGCATTTTTTAATTGACTGTAATAAAATATAAAGTTCTATAGAATTCTATTAAGTCATTTCCATTATTTTATGTGTATGTCAGTAACACTATTGCTGTGATCCACTAAAGACAGGTTGCAACCCAGCTATGAATCCTGACTCCCCAGGTGAATAAATACATTTTTGCAGAAGGCATATCCCCAGGTTGTACAGTACAGGCAATGACAGTGCTGGCTGGGCTGCCTTTTCACCTGTGTCAAATGTGTTTATTGCAGAAGAACGTTGTTAAATACTGAATAAAGTAATTCAAATTGTATCATTTGAGCAAACTAAATGAAAGGAAGTTTAACATAGTTGTACCCACATGATCTTTTTTTAAAATATTGAGCAGCTAACCAGTATAGGATAATAAAATTATAAATTGGTCTTTATTCACTAGAGACTATCAACACTAATCCTGGATTGATACTATATATATATAGTATCAATATAGTATATATATTAGTATATAGTATCTAATAATAGTATATATATAGTATCAATATATAGTATATAATAGTGTATATATATAGTATCAATCAATATATAGTATCAATCCAGGATTAGTGTTGATAGTCTCTAGTGAATAAAGACCAATTTATAATTTTATTATCCTATACTGGTTAGCTGCTCAATATTTTAAAATATATATACACACACACTGTGTGTATATATATATGCCCCTGTTCACAATGCATTGATTATTATAGTGTACAGTATATAATCATTGAAGTGTTTTAAATTAAAGGAGAAAGAAATACCTAATTCAAATTGCAGTCAAACATTAGTAAAATGTATAAAATTAATCTGGCAATAATTCAGAGGGGTATATTGCACTTCTTTCTATGCACCATTTACACTATTCAGTTATTCAGATGGGATCTTACCAAGTCTTCCAGTCTGACTCCTAGTGATTTCACAGACATACACATCCATGTATGAAATCCATGAAATATAGAACTGGTTTGTTACTCGTTTCTTTTAGACTACAGTACTACTTTTGAATGTTCCACAAATATATATAAAAGGATTGTGCTCTCGCACAAGGAAGAGTAGAAGAATTGTGAAGTGCACAGGAAGAAGTTCTCAAAGGGCAGAAGGGCAGGTTGTATGAAAGAAACATTTCTGAAGTGTAGGAATGTTACTTAAATTTTGGTTAGCAACGTTTTTTGAAATTTCTATTCTGCAGGAACTATGGTAGGTTCATTAATACAAATGTAAAACTAAGGATAAGCTATACCAAAGTAAGCTACTGCGTGAATGAAGAAACTTCATGTATGCCAACTTCTGGTTGTTAGGGAACAATTGTCTCTTGATAACATCACAGAGACTCTAGTAATGCAATAATAAGAGTTGCTAGGAGAGAGGTAGGAGATATATATAGGTGTGTTGTGAAGGAGACTAGTGCAGTGTAGCATGCCAGTCAGTTTTTTCTCTTCTGCTAATCATGGCCTTTATTACCCGGAGATGCCTACAAAAGCAGAAGGAATTCATCCTGGATGGTGTGGCAGTGGACACCATTGGTAGCAGCTATGCCCACATCCTGCCCAAGTTGTGGTCTGCATTGCCACCTTATAATGCTCAGTTGGATATCCATGCTGCTAGCTATTTCTCATCTCCAGTGGTCAAATCAGTGTTAAAAAGGACGGACCAGGTAATGGCATTTGCAGATTGAAATGGAAATCAATGGAACAGATGAGCAGGAGAGCTAGGAGGTATAACTTAATGTCTTAATGTCATGCTAGACAGTAGTCCAGGTGCACACGACTCATAGACAACAGGATATTCCCAAACTTTTTTTTTTTTTTTTGCAGCTTGGGGCCCTCCAGAACAGCAAATTGCTGAAATCAATTTTCTGATACATTCCTGTGGGAAATAGATCAAATAAAGTTGCATATTTGAATAGCTTAATATATCTAAAGTAGAACTCTGCCTAGCACAGAGTACCTAAAAGCCAATACTAAATCTCTGAAAATATAGCTCCACCAGCTTGTATATTTTTGCCTTGGCTGCCAAAAATAAGAATTAAAAGAAATATGGTTCTGACTGCAAAAACCTGGTCTGTCACTCTGATAATTCATAGAGTGGTGCATCCCTTTTTTTCAATGAAAAAAAAATCTTCCCAGGTAATTTATTTAGGTCTCTAAAATAACTAAATAGCATCCAGTCTAATTCTAGTCTGTTCAGAACATAGAAAAGACAACTTATATTAAATATGGGGAAAGTATATTTACAGCCGTTAAAAACAGTTTGTAATGCTTCCAAATTATCCTCAGAAGCTGACTCTTCCTAAATTATAGAACAGCTACAGAATATTCCTCTCTATGTGCTCCTGCAAACGGCTCCTGGATTTTTAGAAGAGAGATGGGAAATTGTGGGCAACAATGACCTGTTCCTTGGATAGAGATTGGGCCCAAATTGGTAACTGGTTCATCATACACGCTTTAGGAAGCCAGTAAATACTTTACTGTTTCCAATATTTAGATTTTCTTTTCTTGGAATGTTTGGTCTTCACTGCTTGATGTCACAGCTCTCTCTATGATCTCACTGTAGACACTACCCATTGCATCACATTTAGGAAAAGAAGAAAATATTCCATGATGATAACAATTAAAACCTGTCTTCTCTCCCTCATATTCTCAATATCTGCCTCCACTGCATATTTATTTTTAAACTGAATTAATTGGGTTTTTGTGGGGTTTTTTGCTTGACAGACTCGTGGTGGGACTTCTAGGGATGGGTGGATAGTGGACTATTTCCATATCTATGGGCCAGGCCAGAGATATTTGAACAGGAGAAACTGGGCAGGAGCAGGTGAGTGAAATATTGTATCCATCTCTTCGGCTGCCTTTCATTTCACCAGCGATTGTTGATCTTCTAAACTCTTAAAGTGATTTAGGAACTGTCACAATAGCTGTGTTGAAGCTATATTCGGTGTATAGGTAATTGTTTCACATCTCCATCTCCCACACCATTCCATTGGTCCAGTACTCTGGCTCCAAAGCCGGAAAAGTGTCCTTTGAATTAGCTCAACTTCTGGGACTCCATGGACACATCCATGCACTTTTACTGCAGACAGAGTGTTTGTTTTAATTAATTTTTACTAAAGAAGTCTTTTACAAGTTAAAAATAATGCAAATTTAAAGAAAAAAGAAAGAGTAAAAGAAAAGTGATAAGTAAATAGGAAAGAAAGAAAAAAGGCAAAGAAAGAAAAAAGATATTAAAAAGTGGCTTTCGATCTTCCTTACAGCAGTTAAAATGCATTTATAGTTTATCCTCTCTCTCTAAGATTATATCATGACTCCCTTCTTTCCATATTCTATCCTGTCTAATAATCAAATCCATAAATCATGAATTCATTTTTTTTTCCATTTTCAGCAAAAAGTCCATAAGAGGTTTCTAGTCACTGGCAAATGTAGTTGTTGCCTTTTCTCTAATTAAGCAAGTCAATTTTGCCATCTCTGCAAATTCTGTCATCTTTATCAACCATTCCTCCATTGTGGGTATTTCAGCCTTTCCATCTTGCAGATAGTGTGTGTGTGTGCGTGCGTGTGCGCGCCTTTGAGTCAGTGTTGACTCCTGATGATTGCCTGGACTACTCCCTGCAGTTTTCTCAGCAAGATTTCAGAAGTGGTTTGCCATTGCCCTCCTTCTAGGGCTGAGAGGGAAGGAGTGGCCCAGCTGGCTTTGTGCCTAAGGAGGCACTACGACTCACAGTCTCCCAGTTTGTAGCCTGGTGCTTTAACCATTACATTAAACCGTCTCTCTTGCCAATAGTACTAAAGTATTCTGCTACTGTCTTCTCTGGGATGTCTTGTTCCTCCCCAGGCTCACTTACAGCTCTGATTTTCCAGGTGACTCCCATTCAAGTACTAGCAAGCAGCAATCCTGCTTAGGTTTTTGAGATCACCCAAGGTCAGTTCTTTGGGGAGGTTGGCGAATGTAACTTGGTGTGCCTTGCCTCCTTTAGACAAATACTTTGCACATAAAGACAGAATGGGTTCTTCTGAAAGTAGATCATGCTTGCTTTTTCACACTCAAAACCAACTGGGGAAACAGTGTTCCTTCAGGTGATTCTAATAACAGTTCTAAGTATCTTCCATAATTGTCTATGCCGGATGGAGTGGCAGGTCCAATGACATCTGAAGTTTAGGTTTCCCTCTTCTGCTCTATTGAAAGTTATAAAATAAATAGCATTTCACAGCTGAAATGGGCGATCCTAGGTCTTTTTGTAGGTTCCCTGCATACAAATTAGATTTCCCCCCCTAAGCTGAACTATAGTGCTAGCATGATTTAGGATGGGTGTGTCTAGCAAAAGAATTAAACCAGTGTTTCTCAACCTCAGCCACTTTAAGATGGGTGGACTTCACCTCCCAGAATTCCCCAGTCAGCATGGCTGGCTGAGATTGAGAAACCCTGAATTAGACACTGTAAGTCATCCCTTCTGCATAACAACTAATAGCCCACATGAAAGGTTTGTCTCATTTGGAACCAGCTCTGGATGTATGTTGGGTCAAGCACAATATTGCTGCTTGAGCTTTTTTTTTCCTGGCTCTGCTACAGTTTATTTGAAACTTAAGCAAAGCTGCAGGGAGGGTCCTTCCCATTTAGTGGCTTTGTTGAGTTTGTAGGTAGCCTTTTTCTCTCAGTGCTGGAAAGCTGCAGTTTATCTTGGCTCCTGGAGGAGCTTCAGAATCCTGTTTTGTTTTGTTTGTTTAGAAAATATTAGAAAGTCATGGCTGAAACTAATAGAGAAAGTTCCTGGTGGCAAGTAAAGCAAATTACGATGCTTTCCCTGTCACAGCTCATATGGGTTCTTAAATATAATGGAACACAGGTGACTTGAAGGCTTGTTAGCTCTCCCCCTTAGTACCTCTGATTTTATTTTATGTTATTTATCTGCTTTGCATATAGGGAGCCAAATCCACAGAGCATGAAATTAAAATGTGAATTGAAGAGTATGCTGGCAATATACTTACTGTTTTATGTGGATCAGGGTGAGGAGATTTGTTATAATATGGGAACTGTGGTGGCTGAGTAGGGCACTGAGCAACGTTTTTTGCGTTTTGGTTGGCTGGAGAGGAACACTGATTGGCTCATAATCAGCTCTGCTTGTTCTCCTACTGAAGTCCACAGAAGTGAAATTAGTACTTTGGAGGGATTATAGAGTGGAAATTGTGTGGGTAGGTGGTAGAAATTTAGGAAAAAAGTATTGCATTGCTGCTAGGGGTAGTTAGGCGATGCAAGACCAAGAAAAAAAAAAGGCAGGTATTGAGGAAAAAGTGTCAAGAGACAAATAGTGTAAGGAAAATGGTGTGCATTTGGGTATGGGTTGTATTTTGCAAACACATGCTTCAACATACTTTGGATGGATAATAATTAGTATTTATTTCTATACAGGTCACTCTCCAGAGCAGGTGGCTGGTCACCATCTGTACCTGATAGATGCAAAACCAGCAACAGGTTGGAATGGGCGATACGGCTATCGCCGCAACACTCCTGATCTTCGCACTCGCTCTTCTTGCTTTGGTGAAGTAACATGGCTCCCCATCCACTGAAGAACACCAAATTATATCAGTCTGTCCCTTCTAACTAAATGCTCTTGATATGTTTTGTTTGTTCTTGATTTTTCAAAAATAATAAAATACTTTTAATTTTCTTATCCTAACAGTTTGTTCCTTGTGGGGATGGGAAATTATGGCAGGAGATTACATTAGGACAGCTTTTTCCTAACGGGATACTGCTAGCCATGATGCCTTGGGGAGGATGAAAGCTGTAGTCCAAGTTGGGGAAGGGCAAAGTGGTAAACCAAAATTCTGCATGTGATGAAAGTGGCTTAATTGTATATTTTGTGTTCTGAGACATCTGTTTTTAGGGCAGAAAATGTGTTTGAGATTAACTGTATTTTAAGCATATGACTGTATACTGCTTTGGGCTTCAAGGAGCAGTCAACAGCAAATCTGCTGAATCTGTTTAATTAGCTATCTAAACCGTTTCTCATTCCTGTCACCTCTCTTCCTTGTATATGTACTCGGACAGAAAAATGTATCTATGCTAGGGTGTCCAGGCAATAGTGATTCAGAAATACAGCAATGCCTTATTGAGGCAGGGACAGATGTGTGACTTGCCTATGAGTACAATTTGAGGCATATTTTCTTGGGGTTAAGATCTGCTTAGTACATAAAGGAAAATTGTATGCATCAAGCAAGCACACTGCAAATGAATCATACAGTATTACATTAGAAGTCATGGCCAATTAAACTTCATGGGACACAAATTAAGTTATGTTGATATTAAAGTTGCAGACACAGGGAATCATTCCCAAAATTATAAACAGCAAATCTACCAGCTATATCTCTAGTATTAATAGCAACATCACAAACATTAGGGCAGCTTGGTAATCCCAATGCAAGAGAGCCATGGACAGAGACAAGCAATTCACAGTAGCTGTGTTCACATGACATACTGAACTCTAAATCTAACCACAAAGAAATTGTCAGAAGGATGGGACTTCTTCCTTTTCTCTGTTTGTTCCCAAGGCAGGAATTTAAGAGAAATCATCAGACAATCAGTCAAAATATGTTTATTCATGCAAAGTTGTCAAATTGCTTTGGATGGGTGGCTGCAAAGCGGATAGCTTCTCCATCCTTTTTATAGGTCTTTTAATTTAAAATTTAGCCAATCATTATTAATAGAATGAAATGTGCCAGCTTATTACAACAGTTTCTGTTCTATCAGCATGAACATATTCCTCCTAGCATGAACATTTTCCTTTCACATTCTGTTAAAACAGATGTTTCCTTAAAGTTTCAGTAAACTTTCTTATTTATGGTTAAGCAGAAGTCTCTTTATCTAAAGCTAAACAATGGACACTTTAACTTTCCTATGCATGTGTTTTTCTATACATAAGATATATATTTTCCTTTACATAGCTTTTGCTACATGATATATTCACTTGTTTATACTGACAGGAACCAACTATTGTCTGTTCTTATTGTAAAGATATTAAAAAAACAACAACACTATGAACCACATTTTAGCCTGTTGCAGTCGGACATAGTCCAGATGGTTAGTTTATACTTCTATCTGTTGTGTTTTTGTAGAAAAATGTAAGTCAGCACTATTAGGAAATAAGCACAGTGCTACTATACTAAAGCAAGCATGTAGATATAAGGCCAAAGAAATGGGTTATGTACAAAGCAAAGGACAAAGGAGAGATTAACTAAATCAATACATCTATAACTTGTCATTTGTCATTTTTTTGATGCCTACATTCTATGTAATGTGAACACTTTAGCCAATCACTATACAACATGAGTCTCGTCGTATTGCACATGTGTTAAAGTTAATAAAAGACTGCTTACTGAGGCACTGGGAGTTGTCCCTGTGGCAGAGATCCAGCATTTGGTGTTAAGTTTTTAATAAAAGTTTCTCTTTATTTGTTGGTTTATTTTAACTGGGTAAATAAATACTTTTTCCATAACAATGTGAACTCAGAAAATATAACTGAGTAAACCATGGATGAGTTAGCCATGAGTAAGCATGTCATGAGTACTCAGCCAATGAAGTGATTGCCTTGTTTCTCCAGGCACAGCATTGTGGACACCACCTCTCCCACTGCAGCTTGTCTAGTCTTATTTAGATTATGATTCCCATCCTGATCATTATGGTGGGAATGACAAAAGTTTACTCTAACACACACTGCTATTGTGTCAGGGCTATAAAGCTTCAATTAGCCATGACAGAAAAAGGTAGTCTTTATATTCAAAGGCAATGCACTGTAAAAAGAGAGAGAGAGGGAATGCTACTACCTTTACTCTTTTTTCATGGGCCTCTTCATGGTGAATTAAAGGACTAGTAGCATGATCCAAAACAACTCTTCTGACTTCATGCTGTCCTTCCCAAATTACCTCCCCAGTTGTTGAACTACTGGTTGGGATGATGGAAGATGTAGTTCAAAATAGTTTCTGGAAGGACTGAACTGTCACAGCGATTGAACTGAATCAAAGATGGGGTCAAAGGCAAGAGACCTCCCTCCTCACACGTTTAAAATGTATATACAGGCAATATAAATAAGAAATTATGCACACGATCTTCCCCAACCTGCCCCCTCCAGATGTTACAGTTCACATCATCGCCACTTAGTGTGAGTGTGATAGTTGAGCCTGGGATGAAGGGAGTTGCAGTCCGACACATCAGAATTATAATTAATAACAATAGTTTTTCCCACAAGAGATATATTGCAGCTTCGACAGAGGAAGCTGTATATATCTAGATGTTCTTAAATCAATCGCTTCCGCTCTGAGAGGACCGTCTCATGGAACGGGAACAATACGTTACGTCATCACTCCGCGCCGGTCTGAGCCCAGTAGCCGAGAAATAGAGAACTTGCGGAGCGGCCGCTCCAAACGAGATCCTTTGAGCCGTCGCCATGGGGGGAGGCGATCTGGTGAGGAAAAGGGAAGGGATGGAGAAAAGCCGAGGGGGGGAGGGGGCAGTCCGAATCGTCTTGGATTTGAGTTAATCGAAACTAAGGGCAGGCTTCTTGTCTCCCTCCGGGAGCAGGTTGCTATGTACATATTTGGATGAAAATACAGGGATATATCGCATAATGTAACTATATACTGTATTATATAACTGAAATATAGGGACGTATTGAAGGAGTGGAGAGACTTGAGCTGGGGTGGGGGAAAGTCTCTTACACAATTGGAATTCAGTGTTATGGAAAGGAGATTAGGAGAATGGGGTAGAGACAGCGACATGCTTTATATAATTGAAGCACTTGTTAGAGGTAAGGAGCCTCTTTATAGCAACCTGACTGGTATATCACTAAGTCAAAATCTAGTTTGTTTACTTTAGTTTATCAAGGTGTGATAGCTTAGCTATTGTTTCAGCTCATAATCTGGTTTGTTTACTTTGCTTTAGCAAGTTGTGATAGTTTAGCCACTGTTTGCAAGCCATGATTTATGGTTTAGTGTATGTGGTGAGCCCAGTTAACTGTGGTGTATTCAACCATTTTTAAGAAAAACATGACTTTGTATGATGTGTGAATCTAGCCAATGAGTATAGGGCCTCCATCATATTCTTAATGTACAAATTAACGGATGATGGAAGCCTCATTTGGAGTGGAGGAAACAAATTGAATAGCCCCACTACAATTCAAAACTTGTAACATGTGCTACTTGGGCTTAATAAGTCAAAGATAGGAAGCTGACTGTTGAAGCAAGTTGTATGTGATGTGGAGTGGATAGCTGCCATTCCATTATAAGACAAATAAACTACAAAATGAGGGAACTATTTGGGTAGCAATACAAACATGGAGCAAGGACTCCTATGCTTTGTATGTACTCAGTTTTAGTACACTGAGGCTTGCTTTTCAGCTATCGTCATTAATTGTTGTTATTTGGTATAGCTTTTGTAGGGGGAATTTGTCAGGTTAAATCAAAGTGTTAATCTTGTCTGTAGAATCTAAAAAAAAGTTGGCACCCACAAACCCTACGTAATGTGGAAAAAGTTTGGAAAGCGGAACAAAAACATGAAGCTGAGCGGAAGAAAATTGAAGAGCTGCAACGGGAATTGCATGAAGAGCGAGCACGAGAAGAAATGCAGCGTTATGCAGAAGATGTAGGCGCTGTCAAGTATGTTGAGCTGGATTTTATTGGTCTGCAACCATAGAATTGTAAAATAAGAATGAGTTATCTAGGCTATCAATTCTCTACAGTGATTCAAATTAAAGTATCCTTGACAGAGGCTGTTTGGCTTCCACTTAAAGAATTGTAGCAAAGGGAAACCCATCACATCTCTGGATAATTGATTCCACTGTTGAACTGGACTTACTGTTATTTTGAATGTTTGGTCAGAATCTGCCTTCTGTAACTTAAATCCATTATTTTGTGACCTGCACTCTGGAACAAGAGAGAACAATGCCTTCTTCTGGGTGACAACCTTTAAGGAATTTGAAGAGGGCTATCATATTGCTCCTTGGTGTTCTGTTGTAAACATTCCCTGTTCTTTCAGTCTCTCCTAATAGGACTTGGTGTGAATCTTCTGATTGTTTCCTTCACCTCTGCATTTAAGATATTAATAATCATTTTGAAGAGCACAGGATCCAGGGCAGTTTCATGTGGTGCCCCATTTAATACCTCCTCCAACTGATGATATGAGTTTTGATTCAGCTGTGTAATCCATTTAACTGTCTTCCCATCATCCCACATTTAACTATATTTAACAGAATGCTATGGAGTACTTTGTCAACTGCTTTGTTGAAATAAAAAAATACTACGTCTCCAGCATTCCCATAATGTTTAGTGAAAGCTATCTAATCCCAAAATGAAATATTATTCAGACAAGATTTGTTCTTGATATTTCCATGCTAACTTCTAGTAATTGTTTTCAAGTGCTTACAAATTACTGTCTGTTACCTGCTCTATAATCTTCCTGGTCACACTGACCAGATCTGCTTTTTACCTTTTTAAAGATGATAATAACACTTCCTGTCCTCTAGTTATGTAGCACTTCACCAGTTCCCCAGGATTTCTTAGTGAAAATATAATTAAAGATTTAGCCAAACCACCCTAAAATTCAGTTCATTTAGATCTGGAGATTTAACTGATTAAAAGTTAATAGGATTTGTGCCTGCAGGGTCAGTTCTGCCCCTTCATTCTGTTCCTCACAATTGCCTGATGGAACATTTATCTTCTGATTAGGGATGATTGAGTGTAGAATAACTTTGCCTTTCTATTGTTACCTCTTAATATTTTGCCATCACCATTGAGCAGCTGATATACCAATTATGTCTTCCTTATAGTTTGAACATAATCTAAGGCAGTGTTTCTCAACCTTGGCAACTTGAAGGTATGTGGACTTCAACTCCAACTTCAGCATTCTGGGAGTTGAAGTCTACACATCTTCAGGTTGCCAAGGTTGAGAAACATTGATCTAAGGAAGACTATTTTTAGCAGCCTTCATTCACCTCAACTCATTCTGAGCTTTAGCTTTCCTAACACCATCTCTGTACTTGTGAGTTACCTATCTGCACCCTTCTTTGATAACTTGGCTCTCTTTCCATCTCCTGTGTGTCTTCCTCTTTGGATCTTCATTAAGCTTTTTGTGCAACTATACTGGTTTCATAAGTTGTTATACATAAAACTTAAAGTGCACCTCGGCTAAGAAAAGTAATTATTATAGTACCAAAAGAAATGCAAGGCAGGTAGTATTTCCTATTGGACATACTCAGTTTATGTCATTTTTAGTCTCCTTCAAGCTATTTGCTGTTTATTTTCCCCTTATGGAAATTGCCACCATCTTCAAGTGTCTTTAAGTGTCTATATGTAGCTGATGTTTGCATAATACTCTGGTCTGCAAGTGACCTTAGCACAAGTCCTTCTAGACCTGAACTCTAGAATGTAAAGTAATTAAAGGTGATACTGCTGTGTATATGCCAAATGCATTTTCTTTGTCATTTCCATCATCCAATAGATATTGTCCCAACTTATATTTTAGGACTGAAATTTGAAAGGGTGAGAGTGAAACTTCAGTGAAGCTTCAATTTATCTCTCCTTAGTTCAGAGATTTAAACACTGACCTTATTACCCAATCATAGTACTTAAAATTTGATAGCATTTGACCTCTTAGCAATTGAATTGATGAATTTCTCTAATTCAAGAATTAAAAAATAGATAGTTACAGGAATAAAATTCTCAATACTTAGATGTGGAAATCTTATGCTTCTTGATAAAGCTTTCTTCAATCCAGTTCAGAAGAAATATATTTTAATTAATAATATATTTCCCTTGATAAAAGTATGGAGATCATTGGAATGTAAAAGAAAATTAAAATGTACCCTCTCCTCTAGCAATTATATTTCACTACTACTGGCTCTGGATAAATTGTGATCTTAATAAGGATCACTAATGTGTGCATTTGCAGAGGTTTTTATTTTGCCCCATCCAGGAATTCAAGATTCTATTTCTTGCAGTTAAAAAAATCCCACAACCCATCCCAAGTAATAGACTTGTCCACATGTGTAATGTATTCTCATCCTCTTTGTAATCCCAGACCCCAAAAAATGTTAAGTGCTGCTGAAGGTTGCCTACCTATTATAATCATCCTTTGTTTTAATTTTTTTAATTTGCTTTGTCTTCTTCTCTTCTGACCCTGAGTTGAAATGAAAGTTCTCATTTTATATCTTTTCCCCCAAATGAATTAGAAAAAAAGATGAGAAGTTGGAATGGATGTATCAAGGACCAGGGGGCATGGTGAACAGAGATGAATACCTTATGGGGCGTCCAGTTGACAAGTATGTCTTTGAGACAGCGGAGGACAAGGAGGCAGGCTGTTCTTCTGAGACTGGCCTTCTGCCAGGCTCTATCTTTGCCTCCTCAGGTGCCAACTCTGCCTTGGATATGGCTAGCAAAATCCGAGAAGACCCACTTTTTATGATAAGGTAATTGGGATTGTTTTCAGTATTAAAAAGAGGGGCAGAAAGTGTATAAATAAAATAAATAATAAATGATGGACTTATAGGTAAATCAGGTGTTGGCCAGGATGATTTATAAAATGAAAGAGTTGAAGTATCTTTAATATGAATATTAAAATTATCTTAATTATTCCCATTAATGTCCACAGTGCTTCACTTTTACATTTTTGTGCTAGATTCAATCAGAGGGGCTAATCCTGTAGACTGAGTATTGAGAATCTATGATTCTTCATATACTAGACTTATAACTATTTCTATTTATTTAGAAACCTATATGATCATTTGTCTTATACAAGGTAATCCTAATCCAGTTATAATCAGTAAAAGCAAAATAAATAAAACCAACCACGTTTTGATAGAGGTTAAAATCCAACAGCTTCTGGAAGACCACAAGTGTCCCCCTCTAATCATAAATTTAATTACAGAAGTGGAATAGGCTATCTCAGAATTTCATGTGAACATTATTTAAATATTCTTTTGTCTATATAGGAAGAGGGAAGAAGAGAAGAAACGTGAAGTTCTGAACAATCCTGTAAAAATGAAGAAGATTAAAGAACTGGTATGTGAATGTATGCTTGTGAAAGCATACAACAGAATGATGTTGAATTCCATGGCGGCAGTCCTATGTATTCTGAGTAAAAATTCAATGGGGCTTTTTTCCAAGTAAATGCACTTAGGATTGGTATAAGTTATCAGTATCAAATTATTATGAAAAGAATTGACATTTGGAGTATCTTTTGTTGAGCTGGGGAAACAGTAATCCCAAGGCCACAGCTTGGAAGGTTTAGGTATGTAAACAATGTGAAGTCTGACTTAGTTTCTGCTGATCTCGGTTTAGAAAGAAAGAGAATAATGTATGGAATAGGGGCTCAACCAAGTGTTAAACAGTTGCCAATCCAAAGTCTTTTAACTGTTGCTGTGTTTACAACAAAAATTGTTAGAGACTAATGCAAACTGGAATGTAATTTTTCCCTACTACTACTGTGCACAATTATAGTTGGAGTAAGTATTCCAACTGGCACTAATTCAGCACTGGTTACTGAAGATATGGAATTATCCCAGATATAACTAATGTAGAATAATTGCTATAAATCCTCAGTCTTCAGTATGGCAGCCATAGGTTCTAAAATGTCCATCAACGTCTTCCTGAAAAGTGCCAGAAAAAATACAAACGTGAGGTAAGTGACATACAAAGAGAGTACAAGAATGTTGAAGAATGGTGTTTTGTGACTGGCTCTTCTACTATGGTAGCCATTTTGTGAACATGCTTATAAATATGTTCTCAAAATTGTAAAAAGTGCCCAAAGGGATTGGGACTCTACTCCAAACTCTGGTACTTATTATGAAGCTAATACTTCCCTTTTTCAAATGTTCTAGTTGCAAAGCAGTTTGGAGAAGAAGAAGAGAAAAAAAAAAGAGAAGAAGAAGCACAAGAAACACAGGCGCCATAACTCCAGTGGCAGTGAAGATGAACAGATTAAAACTAAGTATGCATGTGTGTGTGTATACACAGTGTACATTCATTCATTCATTCATTACATGCTTTTAATTACAAAATTGTTTACAGTCTTATATCAGTCTTATGAGACAGGGCCATTTTAGAGGTTGGGTTTGAGTACTGTTCATAATTGCAGAAAAAGGAGTGGAACTGAGTCCCCACACAAACACATGCTACTGTGTTACAGTGGCTCTTGATGTTAAAAGGTGATATAGGTAGTCCTTGGTTAACAACCACTTATTCAGTGACCATTTGAAATTACAATGGTGCTGAACTAGTGGTACTTACAACTGATCCTCAAAGTTCCGGCCATCCCAGAACCCCCGCAGTCACATGATAATGATCCAGGTGCTTGGCAACCAGCTCGCACTTACAACAGTTGCAGTGTCCTATGTCACATGATTACCATTTGTGACCTTCCCTGCTGGCTTCCCACAAGCAAAGTCAATGGAGAAGCCAGCAGGGAAGGTTGCAAGTCACTCCTGTAAGTCATCCCCACCACTTTTTCTCCCAAGGAACCTGGCTACAGAATATGAGATCCCAGGGATCTCGTACTGTGTAGCACCCACGCACTTGCAGCATCCCCCCACCCTCACTCTGTAATGCATGCCTGCCTGGCTGTACTCATGCTGCAGCAGGCACCTGTGTGCCCTCCCACACTCCGCAGCAGCCAACCCCCACCTGGGGGTTAACTTAACTTAACCCGCCCATTGGCCTGCTTGCAAGCCGCCTGGGACTTGCAACTTCCTGCTGGCTTCCCCATTGACTTTGCTTGTTGGAAGCTGGCAGGAAGTCACAAGGAGGTCCTTGCTTAACAAGCCACGATCCTCGCTTAACTATTGCAATGGGGACTCCTGGGATTGCTATTACTAAGCAATGTGGTCACGTGACGTCATGCTTTACAACCTCATTGCTTAGTGACAGAAATTCCAATATCAATTACCATAATTAAGCTAGGACTACCTGTGGTGTGGATGGGCAGTGTAGCTTGACAGGCACAGTGGTAGAGGAGCCACCATGATATATTTCTCCCCATCCTTGAGCGAATCTCTGTATACATGCTGGGTTTCTATTCATATGGGCTGGAATTGGCATGTACATAACCTATATGTTTAAAATAACCTATCACGCTGACAAAATGATAGAATATAATTTTCTTTTGCTTTAGGTCACAGGAGAAAGTAGAACATCTTCATACCAAAAAAACAGGATATGGATTGCAAGTATGTACTGTGGTCTGTAGTATTTACTATACAGTATAATATAGAGATGCTATTTATTGGGGCCAGCCTGACTTAGAATGTCCAGTCTTGAAGTGGCACTTATGCTTTAAGCATGTGAACTCACACATTATCATTAAATTCCTTACTGGTGTAGCTGCCAATAACTTCACAATCACTATTTGGGGCATCTGTGTGCAGTCAATCAAATATAGCAACATTTGTTCCATGCTTAAATACTTTCAGCAAATAGCATTTTTTTCTTAATGTTAGGTTCGTGATAGTGGCCATGAAAGGATGCTGTCCCATAAACTCCAACAGAGTTTTGGATCAGAGAGTCAAAGCCATTCTCCAGAGAAGCATGGGGGCAAGAAGACTACAAATCAAGAATCAAGCAGGCATAAGAGATCAAGATCGCCTCGAGACAGTAAACAGTAAGCAAGAATAGGACAGCCAATTCTCTTTTTCTGTAATAGATGTTATTTTAATTGCTGTGGAATTATTCAGATTTTAATTAGGTGTTTTTTGCATACACTAGGGTACATGGATTGAGTATATTTGGAAGGTCATCATTCTGGCCTCTACCCATTGTAATTTTTAATGTGACAAGAATGGAAATGTTTTAAGAACATGTGCAGTAATTATACTCATTGTTTAAAATTAAGTGATAATTTAATTTTTGAATCTCCCTCCCAGTCTTAGTTATGATTTTGGGGTGTTGCTCCTCTTACGTCATTCAAAAGGCAAATGCAGCCATTGGGTTGAAAAACATTGTGCATCCTGGTAGTATATGATGAAGAATTAGCAGCAGAACAGTTTAGACCAAAAAGTTATTAATAATGAATTACTATTTTCATGGAGGAAAGAAAACTTCTGAATTGCAGGCACAATGGCATGGAACAGAAGACAAAAACAGAATGTAGGAATTTTCGTAAGGAACAAGACTATAGAAGAACACAGGCTTCAAGGTATGTGGAAGGGCATGATATTGGTGGATTTTAAGTGGGTTGTAGCATAACTGTATAATGTATTTTAGGCAGAATATTTTGAAAAAACATATGCATGCAGAAAACTTGGCAATTAAATGAAAAGGTCTGTAAAAATAGACTCAACAACTTTCTCTTATTTTTTTTCAATCATTATCATTATTGCCCATTATTTAAAGACCCCAAATGTCCAACTTTACAAGATCAACCTCCTCGAATTTGATGGGTGAGAGATCTAATTTACTAAGGATACAACTGAGCTTCAGTCTCTGCACTTGCTTTCTGCTGGTTTCCAAGCACTTTGGAAAGCTGTAAATAGTTTTAATGCTCTGCATATGGTCAGTGACTAAGGTACATTAGATTTAAGGTATACATTTGTTTAAGATTCACATGGTGCAGGAGTATAAAGAAGGTAGAGCCCATTCTAGCTTGAACTGAGCCCTTATTCTTTGCTTAAGTAATATTCTGGCAATTGGTGTATTCTGGATATTGAGTAATCAATCCCAGTTCCCCGCTTATCTTAATCATAGCACTAGAGAACCCTATTTCCTCTGTTTACAATAGCCAAGAGAAGGATTTACTCCATAAGTTGGTGATGAAATTGGAATTTGATTTGAAAAGCCACTATTATGCTGCCTAAAATCATGTTAATCTATTTTAAGCAGAAAATTATCAGCAGAAGAGCTGGAGAAAAGACGGAAGGAAATGATGGAGAATGCCAAATGGCGGGAAGAAGAAAGAAAGAACAATGTAAACAAACATAAAAAAGAAGAAGAAAGAGAACAAGCTCTGGAAAAACTTCGCCACTGCAATGGGAAGTTCATATAGTGAGTATCCTCTTCCTTTTAAAATTAGGAAGAAGTTGTAGCTCAATCAGAACAGAATACATTGTATACGGAAGGTCCCGGCTCAGTCTTCATTAAAACAATCAGATGATCACTACACTTGATATAAAGCAGCAGCATCCTAAATTATCTGTTTGAAAGCCATCTTGGGATACATCCTTGTTTCACATACTAATATTGTGAGATCTAAATCTAATTTAGATTTAAAGAGGATATGTTTTCCTGAACTTTTCTCAAAGTGTTAAAGCAGCCACTTCTTTTGGGATTTTCGGCTGTAGTTCAAAGGCTGTCCCTGACTGTGTGTGTGTACTTACACAGACAATGCTTCTACTGGAAGTGCCAGTGAAGTGATGCTATGCATATGCAGACTGCTGGATCCAGCCTTCAAAGCAGTTCTGTGAACTTTCCAAAGGGTGTGGTTGCTTTAACACTTTGAGGAGGGGTGCTTCACTTTCGGTAAAACCCCTTTTAAATGCTTTGCACAAGCCTAATAATTTCCTCAGCCTTTTACAGGGTGCGCTTTCCCTGTAGAAATTACAGTCTAAACATATTAGAGCAGGAACTCTGATATAATTAGTTTTTGTAAATTGCTTTAGGAAAATGCAGTCTTGCTAAGGATTCTGGGTGTGAAGGAGGAATTACAAAAGCATAGAATTATCTTGAATAGGAAGAGGAAAGCTCTTTCATGTATAAAGAGTGATGCAGAAAATCATGCATGATTTAATGACTACAGAAAAGAGTGAAGACTAGATAGATTTTCCTTTCTAGACTTGAGAGATTCCATGTTTTATATTTTCCCTGGCCCCCAGATATTATGCAGAAGGGCATCTCTCTCTCTCTC